GCTATTTTAGTTTCCTGTAGGAAAAAGTGGGTGCGCTGTTGTTGTTGTTATTTTTCTAGTTCAAGTTCTGTGAGGGACGTCTTACACCCTGGTCAGCACTTCTTCACTCTCCTACCATTGGGTAGGAGATATAGAAGCATAACCAGCCGCACCAACAGGCTGAAGAACAGTTTCTACCCACGGGCTGTCAGATTTCTGAACGGAAAATAACTTCATGTCAACATAGTATGATAGACTTGTGGGGCTGTGCATTGTGCCACAAGGTCACATAGTGTAATAAGATGAGTTAGGGACTTCTGTCCTCACTGTGAGTTGTGTTGGGGATGTGTGTGCACCAAGGGAGGCTCAGCCAATCTCATTGTACACATGTTGTACTCTGGCAATAAAGGTAATAATAATAATGATGTGATGGATATTGGAATTGTATGATGATGGTGGATGAAATCCAGTTTTGATGCTGTACTTCAAATCAGGTCCTGGAATGACCCTGACTGTTCAGTTTTTGAGAACAAACAATATCTAATGAATTAAATTTTTACCAAGAGAGTTGCAAGTGCTAGAGGGGACAGCCATTAGCACGCTAGTTTCATTTATGTATAAATCAATACTTCATTCAGCCTATGCTGTAAGTGGAATATGTTGATGCAGTGATTAACTAAAATTATTTTTTTTCATCAGGTTCCACTCCACTGCTCCCACAATCAAACTTCTTTGACAGAGGAAGAAAAAAAGGATCAAATGTTGTAAAGACATTTCTTAGACTTTTTGACTAATTAAGTCTAATTATCAACAACAAATCACATGCATTAACTGGGTTCAGTCTTCCATAACTGAACAGGCATCAGGTACATGTCAGAAGAATGTACAAAAATGAAGGGACAGCAGCTCCAAAAATTGCCTCTTTGAAAACATCGTTAGTAAACATAGTGCTTACAAGCCAAAATATTGTCTTTCTCCAGGAATGTCTAGCTAACTTTGGTGAAGATATGAAAGAGCTGTTAAAAGGAGGATGGGAGGAGAATGAGCCATTAAGGACTGACTTGGATAAGACCTTAGACAGTCTAATGATTAAAGCAAGTATGAGAAAGAAATTCACAACAATCCTGCCCTGTTTTTGTATAGTACAAGATGGGACAGGAAAAAATTTGGACAGGCTTTCAATATTCTGTTTTTCTATGCTAAACTAAAAAGTAGTAGTATTGGGATTTCTCCTGTTCTGGTTTATCTCAAAAGGGTGAAACAATTTCAAAAATAAAGGATGGGCTAAATTCTTTTCTTTGGGTTTACTTATTTTTTTAAAACCAGGCAGTAAAAGAACCTAGGGAAAAATATTGAAGTGGGGAGGGGAGAAGGAAATAGTTGCTTTATCAATGATTGTTTTTTTTGCTTTTGATCCTCATATGTTTGCTTCACAGGAATGGTGGACTTCCAAAAACTGAGCATCTAACTATGCAATCATTAAGTGATTCCATAACAAACAGGGGATTATTCTTTGCCAGCAAATAAAGCAATAGCAGTAGTACTTAGACTTACAACACTCTCTGTGTGGTTTATAATGTCAGTATATTGCCCCCAACATTCTGGGTCCTATTTTACCAGCCTTGGATGTATGGAAGGCTGAGCAACCTTGAGCCAGTCCGGATCAAACTGCAGGGTGGGAACAGAGTTAGTTTACAATGTGGCTTTTTAATCACTGTGCCACCAGTGCAAAAAGGAATCCTTTGAACTTATGTATTACCTCTTTATAAAATAAAATGTGCAATCAAAATGGTGAATCTCCTTCTACTTCTATCATTAAGACCAAGTGGTTATGGGTATGTGGAACCACAGGATCTTTAGTTCTGGATAGAATTGCACTTTCCCAAGCAAATTACACGTACTACTTGGGGCTCCTCCATGACTGACAATTCCTGCTCAAAGACCATGTTGTAGTCTTGACTAGGAGAGCCTTTGCACAACATTGTTTTGTGTACCAGTTGTGTCCTTTCCTGGATCATGAGGCTCTATGCTCAGTTACTCATGCTCTGATCACCTGATGTTTGAACTACTGCAATATGCTCTACATGGGGCTATCCTTGAAAATATTCTGGAAGCTACAACAGGCATAGAATGTAGTAAAATGGACAGATTGGAGAATGCAGTTACATGGATCCCTAGGGTGGCCCATGAGAACAACCACTGTAGCACAAACTACACTGGTTGCCAGTTTGCTTCCACCAATTCAAGATTTTGGTTATTACCTGTAATGGTGTGGATCCAGGCTACTTCAGGAACTGTCTTACCCTTATAGGATTGGTCTATCCTACTTGCTCTGACAGAAGGGCATGTGGAGGATCCCATCAGTGAAGAGATTTTGGCTGGCAAGGTCTAGGAAAATAATGTTTTCTGCTGTGGTGCCCATCCTGTGCCCCTCAAGGTGATATCTGCCTCCAGTCTTTTGGGCTTCCAAAAGTGCCTAAAAAGGGAAACATTCTATTTGGGGGGTGTTTAGTAGATTAGGAGAAGATCCTAGTACCACTACATTTATGTATTAGTCCTTTTTATCTTTTATCTTGTTGTTAATTTCAGTGTTTTAACTTTTAATGCTCAATGTTTTTTTAATGCTTTTAATTGTTTTATATTGATATTTTATGATGTTGGAAGCTGCACAGAGTTACTTGACAGTGAAATGGGCAACATGCAATTTAAATAAATAAATAAAACCATCTGACTTTGCAAGAAGGTATAGTAGGACTGATATTTGTTCCTGTAGGAAAGGACATAATTTTATCTTGAGAAATGTGAACTAGGGTTTCCTTAGAAATTTTAAAGAAATGTAGAAGCCACATCTGATTTGAATTCCATTTTAGCTAAACATCTATGCCAAGTTGATGGATATATGTTGACCTCTAATACCAGTAATATAAGGAAAATCTCTTTGCTTTTCCTTTGAAATACCTCCAAAAGTTTAGTTGAAAATTTGTAGAATTTCAAGAGGTTTAGGTAAAATAAGAGGTATGGGAAGAAGATACCATTGGCTGTATTTTAAGAGAAGTGATACATTAGTAAAATTGTTTATAATTATATAAAAGGAGGAAGTCATTTCTTTAAACATTTTTCTACTCCTGATATATGTTCTTATTTTTTCTTTCTTTTCTATTTTTCCTTGTGTTTTTTCTGCTATTTTTATTTTTTATTTAATTTGTATTAGCATGTATCTTTTCAACTGTAATGCTCAATAAAATTAATACTCACCAAAAATTAATTAAAAAATATGGGAAGTTATCAAGGGTATCACATTTATTAGTTCCATGGTTGATTTGTCATCAAGTTGCTTCATGAGGACCTCACAAGACAAGTAAAAACTCCTCCATCCGATTACAAGGATTTAGATGTTGGGTCTTAATATTTGATCTATGGCATATGCTATGAAACAGATCCTTAATGGAGAATCCTATATTGCCTTCCACATCTACAGCATTGAATGAGGCTTCTAGTTACCATGTGATGTCCATATACCCTGCCACAAATTAAGGACTTGTACTTATTTGAGAAAGACCTGGAATTAGCATGGATAAAGGGAAGGTAAATTTCAAAGTAGCTTTGTTTTGTTCCCCACTGAACCATTTAAGCATACAGAAGAATTAATAATTTTGAGCTTTTATTTCAAATAGTTATTCTTGCACAACACTGCCAACATTAAGCAAATCTATGCAATAGCTCTGCCTCATTATAATTGGTAGTTACCATGTATACGTTACTTTAACTTAAATTTTACATCCATCTTCTGCGTGATTCCTTGTATAAATGCTTACTCCCGCATATCTTCCATTAAACGGCAATCTAAAAATATAACACTACTTCATCAAACAGCTTATTTCATTGTTATTAGCACTTTTCTGTTAGCTTTTAAAAAGCACTACTCAAACTGTAGTTACGTATGATAGGATTTTCTCACTATTTCGTAACTGTCTATACTTATTAAAATCTAATGGGCAATTCTTTTGATAGAGTTTACAATCTTATTTCTTATCATCTAATATCAGACAGTTTAGGCATCATTACTAATTTGCCAAATATACTTGAGCCTTGAATATTTATGAGCAACATGCTTTGAGAGTCATGTTTGCTTTGAGTGTGTAAATGTTATCAACACCCCACTATCTCAGTAGGCCCTAACCTTTGGTCACCAGGGACTGGTTCCATGGAGAGACAGACAGGAAGGGGTGTAGTTTTGCATGCTGCTTGCATCTTACTTATAGGCTTCACTTATTTATGCAGCCTGGTTTCTGGCATGCCATGGACTGGTGCAAATCCATGGATTGGAGTTTGGGGATCCCTGTACTTGTTGATATTGGCCAAAGCAGGGGAAGAATCCAGCCATTTTCCTAATGGAATGTTGTTGTTGTGCATAATTCCTCCTCCTCCCCCCCCCCAACTTTGGGGAGTGGTAAGTGAGAAATAATGAACGAGGATGTTTTATGTGCATTATCTGATGTTTAAAAAATATTTTGAATACTTGTAGAAATGAAACCCTCTTTAGGGCCATTATCTCAAAACACAACATTATATGGCCAATCAGATTTATATATCAATGTCAGAAAACCAATTAAAAATGAAAAGACAGTTCCTTCACTTTGAATGTGAGAAGTTGTCTCAGAATTCATTGACAGGTGATATATTATTCTGAGGCAGTGCTCATGGATACAACTCCCAATAAGTCTTAGTGATAATTTAAACCCCACCACCTTTCTCCCTCCTCTCTCCGCCCCATTTATAACTGGAATATGTAGCATTTCATCTTTGAAATTTGAAAGAATGGATACCAACTGAATCTTAGTTCTGATAAGACTTCCCTTAATTATTTTAAATATAATATAAAACTTGGCTATCGTGTAACTATTGCTTTTATTATGATGTAGAAAACAAAAATAAATTTGTATCCTCTTTTGTGTGAACCATATTAGAAAGGAGAGGAAAAAATCATGGAGGATAAAACTATAAAATATTGAGAAAGCCACCTTGTTTCTTGCTCATGGTGGACATGACTAATGGCTCAGACCAAATCTTTTTGAACTTGAGATAATACCTATCAGATTAAGATAAAACATAGGTGATTTATATATGTACCATGTACCAGAAAGCATTTGTCAACCTCTTTTCTCTTACTTTACCTCAAGTTCAGATGTTTTCATTTTCTTTTTGTCATTCCTGCCATCACCTATCTTTTTATTGTACTGTCTTGGTCCTCAGGTGCTGGAGCAAAATATTTAGACTATATGCAGGATTGCCCCTTTCATTTTTTTTTACACCAGGGACTTTGAACCTCCAATGGGCTGTTTAAGAAGCTTAGCATAACTAGTATTAGATAAAGCTAAGATTTCATCATTAATAATGTTGCTGAAAGCCCCCACAAAATTATATTTATGATCTGTAATAGGTTTCATTAGATACACATTTCCATATCATGAAGCTTATTGTGTCTCCATTCAACCAAAACTACTTTCAACACAATAAAATGAAAGAAATCTATCTCTGTAGGGCTGGTTCTTCTGTTAGGCAAAGTTGGGCGGCAGCTTCAGGCATAGTTTGGGCTTTACTGAAGAAGACAAATGGTTTGTTGTTATTGCCTTTTTATTGCCATTTCTGCTTTGTGTAGCAAAATAAATTAACTGGCAGACTTTGAGTTTAATGCATTTTTACTAGGCATATATTTCTGGATTTACTTTTCCATCTCAGGCAGAAAAAATAATTTGTGGTGGACTTACATCCCTGTAGTGCAGACTAATAGGTAACAAACAATCTCTTTCTATAGGGTTTCAAGGTTCAGTGTTCAATCCTCTAGTTCTGTTCATGTTTTCATTGCAAGAAAGGTGTTTCTGATCTTAAATGCTTAGATATTTTTTTGAAATGAGAGATACATGTGTGACCTCATCAAGTAACATGAGGCCATGGAATAAGAATATCTGGAATATTAAGAACTGTGTAGGGATCTTCTACTCACTAAAATGGTTGATGGGAGCAGCAGAAGAAGGCTATTTTGTAATATATGTAGTCTTCAACTTACAACAGTTCCCCACTATCTGTTTTAAAATTGATTCCAACTCCTAAAATTCCACAATCATTTAAGCTAATGCTCTACTATACTTTTTTATTCATATGCCCCGAGAAACCCATGCAGGTTTGCAACTTTTATTTTTCAGTTTGTGAACTAAAATCTCAGAAAATGAAAAATTTAACCCATCTACATATAATTAACCAACTCAAAGTCTAGTCTACCTAGGTGTTACATCTGAATTCCAGAAGAATTGAGGAAGAATGATGCTTGAGTATAATATCCTGTTTCATTTAATAGTACTAAATTGCAACAGTTTCCATACAAATACAGGTTTACGATTTCCACCAATACTCAGCTAGTCTACCTTGGCACTTATCACATAGTTCCTGCAAATTTTCCTTTTGAATTCCATTGCATTTGAAAATATCTTTGGTTTTGAGAACCATATCTTGTATCTTCTTTGAAGTTATCCTTTATACATGCTGCAAAAGATAAAATCTTCTAGCACAGACTTTTTTTCTTCTATGGTCACCCTTTGAATGAGCCCCAAATAGTCTATCTTTCAACCATGTCTATTCATAACTTTACAATAATACCTAGAATAAAATTGCAGGATATCATTATTGATTGATTGAATATGCATCAAATTGTTTTTGATTCCTAGCTACCACATGGATAGATTTTCTCCATGATGAACTGTTCCTAACCTGATCTTTCAGATTTTGCAATGTTATTCCCATAACCACTATAACTAACTCCCTCCACCTTCCTGCTGGGAATCCTCTTCTTCTCTTTCCCAGCATTAGATGCTTTTCCAGAAAATTGAGTCTTCATCAAATAGTAGAACATCATTATACTCTGGTATTATATAATGATTGGCATTACATACTAGTAACAATATTAATCAAACATTAATGTTTGATTGCAAGACAATCAAACAGGTCAGTCCTAGGAGAGATCCACCATGACCGCTCTTTAAAAGGCAAGATCCTGAAGATGAAACTCAAATACTTTGGCCACCTAATGAGAAGAAGGGACTCTGGAGAAGAACCTAATGCTGGGAACGATTGAGGGTGATCAATGAAGAAAAAGAAGAAGGGGATGGTAGAGGATAAGGTGGCTGGATGGAGTCACTGAAGCAGGAGTCGGGGGGATGGTTGAGGACAGGAAGGCCTGGAGGAATGTTGTCTATGGGGTTGTGATGGGTCGGACACAACTTCGCAAGTAACAACATTTGACATTTTCCAACATTAATTCTACCATTCCTTTAGATATATTGTTCTTACCAATAATATTGCTTGCAAAATTAATTTTAATACTTAATTCAATTGCATGCATGTATTTATTTTTAACTAGCAGTTTTAAAATAACTATTGGCAAGAGACTATTGTCTCCAGTTCAAAGTCCTCCTTTATTTTTCTGAAATAAACATCATGCCACCAATCAAATAATATTTCCATTCACCAATGCTGTGATTTGCACCTCCTCATTTTAAACAAAATATATTGTCATGCTTCTGGTTTTTATTGTGGTTGACTCAAATTGAAGGCACGAGGGACTTTCTGTAACAGCTTCTTTATTTTTTCCTTTGTCAATAATCTTGCTTTGAATAATATTTGTCCCAGATTTATATTCCTTTGCCCACCCCTTCATTTTAATTTTTAACAGATTTATATTCATACTAGATTTCTTTGGGCTTGGAACATTCAATCCAACCAATATATTACTATGCAAACTTTTTCTCTTGTATTATTTTATTTCTAGACCAATTCTCCTATGTCAGTTAACTAATTGTTTATATTCTATACCCCACGATGCTACTCTCTCTGGCACAGATTTTTCCCAGAGCTATTTCCTAAATTTAAAAGACAACACAAAGTATAATAAACAGGCTGGATTCTCTATGGAGGGGTATCTCTGGGATTATCAGTGGGAGAAAATTATCCAGGGAAAGAATTCAAATTTATCTTGCTAACTTCAAATATATCAAAATATGATGGGGCAAAGTAGGAAACAGGCAGCCCCTCTCTTTACAGAAGAATCCTGGAAACAACCTGTCTCCTTCCTCTTCTATACAGAGAAGGGCAATGAACAGTTGGGTTTTGGATAATGAGCATTGCACCTGATGAGTGACAAGTTGTGAAGTATGGAAAAAATGTAGATAATAAAAATGTATATATATATTTTCCATTTTTCTCAGGCCCCCTTTCTTCCTGAAACATCGAAGATGTTGAAATAAAGAAAGGCAAAAACTCACTTGTTGGTTTTGTTTCAGAATAATTAGTATAATAAATTGTGCCATTTATTGCTATCCTTTACTCCATTTGTTAGATCTTTCTAATAACTATCTAACAATCTCTAGTGTATCGGAGCACTAATCAGTCAGATTCCCCCCCCCCCCACCCCAGTTATTAGAATCAGATCCCTATTGAAGAGATGAAATGAAATCACAAAAGCAGAAACTGACGAGAGCACCAATAGCTCAGGAAATACCAATCAATATCTAAAAGTTTTACAGTGATTCCTGTTTCCATTCCTGTTTCAATAAAATGTAAGTATATGGAAGAGTCTAAGAATATCTTTTATCTTTTCTTAATTATCATTCTGTGGTTTCCATGCTCTTCAGATTGTCAGACTGATGCAATTAACAACAGTTCTTATGATTCTAAGAGGTCCAAAATTTATAATTCCATTTGTTTTATATTTATCTATATGTAATAAGTAAAACTAATTATTATATATACATACACAGATAAAATATAATCAAGTTATAATTTAACAGATAACAGATAATCAGAGTTGGAAGGGACCTTGTAGATCATCAAGTCCAACCCCCTCACCTAAGCAGGAAACCCTACACCATTTCTGACAAATGGCAGTCCAATCTCTTTTTGAAGGTCTCAACTGATGGCACTCCCACAATTTTTGAGAGCAAGCTGTTCCATTGGTTGATGGTTCTCACTTTCAAAAAGTTTCTCCTTATTTCCGGGTTGAATCTCTCCTTGTTCAGTTTCCATCCATTATTCCTTTAATAATGGATGGAATAATTTAATTTATCAGCCTGATTAACCCACTGCAGGATGAAGACCTATTAATTGAAGACTATAATTAACTACACTGATCCAGTCCAGATTGGTAGATGTTGTTTCGATTTTCTATTTTAGGACTTTAAAAATGTGACTGGCCCAAAGTCACCCATCTGGCTTCTCTGCTCTCTTATAATTGTTCATCTTCCTAGAGGATTACACGTCACGCAGTTTAGTCTTTAAGTAGATAAAAAGGAAGGCAATTCACTGCAGATAATATAACAAATTTACTTAATCCTGGGATGAACTATGTTTGCCCTAAGACATTGATGGTCGGTCTTCTCCATATCTCCATATCCTACCATTTGTGCTGCTCATACATATTGATTTCTTCTCATCCATAAAACAAAGAGAGAAAATAATTACTTCTCTCTTATTCATGGCACAACACCCTTATTTTAAGAGGCAAATGAGCAGATAGCAAAAGCAAGAAGGTGCAATGTCCAGGGTGGGTTTTATCTGCATGCATTTAATTAGTGGATGCCCCCAGATAAAGTAGTAGACCCAGTGGAACTAACTAGTACAAAAGTGAAGTACAAAGCATGATGGGTTAGTAAAGCCAGCAAACTAATGACTGATAAGCTCAAGCCACAAACAAATGTCTCTACATCTGAGCTTTTACTCCCTTTCCCAGAATTTATCTCCAGCCATTAGAGTACACCTTCTTGTAAGCTACTTATTCACACATAGCCCATTACTCTTTGTTTTAGGCAGCTTTATTTCTAAGATCTAGAAACCACTCACTTGATTAATAATAATAATAATAATAATAATAATAATAATAATAATAATAATA